AGCCTAGAAGCAAGTATATCAAATTTAGTGAAAATCGGTTCAGATATAGATATAGCAACCATATAAATGTTTCATCCGATTTAGAGTTTTAGTCCCATACATTCGTAATATTCACTCTACAACCGTGATATTTGGTACCTGGTATTAGATGGAGCACAGGAATAGCTGTTTTAAATTTTATCGAAATCGGTTCAGATTTCGATATAGCTCTCATATATATCTTCATCCGATTTCGGGTTAAATGTGCACTAAATGGTCAATATCAGCCCAAATCACCAGTCTAGAAGCTAATACGTAAAATTTGGAGAAACCCGGTTCAGAGATAGCTATAGTTCGTAAAATGCACGATAGAATTAGATAGATTTTGATTTTGTACCAAATATCTCATAGAGCTCTGAAATGCCCTGTATAAACCTTTTTACGAGAGCTCTACTAAATATGCATAGTGGTGTAGGGTATCATATAGTCGGCCCCGCCCGACTTTTGAACTTTCCTTACTGGTTTTGACTTTTAAAATGTACAATAGTAATGTTTTATTTTGCATGATTTTTTTTTTTTTTTCATTTTGACTTACTATTTTCGAATGTACATTTGTACTGTTTTTTTATACCCTACACCACATAGTGGTAAGGGTATTATGTCTTTGTGCATTTGTTTGTAACATGGAGAAGGAAACGAGATAGACCCATAGTTACTTTTGAGAACCTTCATAGAATCACTTTCTGAGTCGATTTATGCATGTCAGTCCGTCTGTCCGTCCGTCCGTCCGTCCGTCCGTCCGTCCGTCCGTCCGTCCGTCCGTCCGTCCGTCCGTCCGTCTGTCCATGTATTCTTGTGAACAAAATGCAGGTCGCATTTATTATCCGATTGAGATGAAATTTTCCAAACAATATTTTTTTGGCCCAAGGACGAACCCTATTGAAATTGGTGAGAATCGGATCAAATTTAGATATAGCTCCCATATATATCTTCATCCGATTTCGGGTTAAATGTGCACCAAATGTCCACTATCAGTCCAAATCAGCTGAATTTTGGCACACCCAACCGAGTTCGGCCTAGAAGCAAGTATATCAAATTTGGAGAAAATCGGTTCAGATGTAGCTATAGCTCCCATATATATCTTTCATTCGATTTCGAGCTAAATGTGCACCAAATGTCCACTATTAGTCCAAATCAGCTGAATTTTGGCACACCCAACCGAGTTCGGCCTAGAAGCAAGTATATCAAATTTGGAGGAAATCGGTTCAGATATAGCTATAGCTCCCATATATATCTTTCATCCGATTTGATCTTTAAGCCCCTCACATTCTTACTATGCACTCCACAACCGTGATATTTGGTACCAGGTATTAGATGGAGCACAGAAATAGCTGTTTTAAATTTTATCGAAATCGGTTCAGATTTGGATATAGCTCCCATATATATCTTCATCCGATTTCGGGTTAAATGTGCACCAAATGTCCACTATCAGTCCAAATCACCTGAATTTTGGCACACCCAACCGAGTTCGGCCTAGAAGCAAGTATATCAAATTTGGAGAAAATCGGTTCAGATATAGCTATAGCTCCCATATATATCTTTCATCCGATTTGATCTTTAAGCCCCTCACATTCTTACTATGCACTCCACAACCGTGATATTTGGTACCAGGTATTAGATGGAGCACATAAATAGCTGTTTTAAATTTTATCGAAATCGGTTCAGATTTGGATATAGCTCCCATATATATCTTCATCCGATTTCGGGTTAAATGTGCACCAAATGTCCACTATCAGTCCAAATCACCTGAATTTTGGCACACCCAACCGAGTTCGGCCTAGAAGCAAGTATATCAAATTTGGAGAAAATCGGTTCAGATATAGCTATAGCTCCCATATATATCTTTCATCCGATTTGATCTTTAAGTCCCTCACATTCCTACTATGCACTCCACAACCGTGATATTTGGTACCAGGTATTAGATGAAACACAGAAAAAGCTGTTTTAAATTTTATCGAAATCGGTTCAGATTTGGATATAGCTCCCATATATATCTTCATCCGATTTCGGGTTAATTGACCACCAAATGGCCAATATCAGCCCAAATGGCCCGAATTTTGGCACATGTGACCGGGATTAGCCGTAAAGAAAATACAACAAATTTGGAGAAAATCGGTTCAGAAACAGCTATAGCTCCCATATATATGTTTTATCCGATTTGGTGTTTAAGCCTCTCACATTCGTAATATGCACTCCACAAGAATGATATTTGGTACCAGATATAAGATACAGCCCAGAAATAGCTGTTTGTAATTTTATCGAAATCGGTTCAGATTTGGATATAGCTCCCATATATATCTTCATCTGATTTCGGGTTAATTGTGCACCAAATGGCCGATATAAATCCAAATGGACTGAATTTTAGTACATCGGACCAAATTCAGCCTAGAAGCAAGTATATCAAATTTAGTGAAAATCGGTTCAGATATAGATATAGCAACCATATATATGTTTCATCCGATTTAGTGTTTTAGTCCCATACATTCGTGATATTCACTCCACTACCGTGATATTTGGTACCAGGTATTAGATGGAGCACAGGAATAGCTGTTTTAAATTTTATCGAAATCGGTTTAGATTTGGATATAGCTCCCATATATATCTTCATCCGATTTCGGGTTAAATGTGCACTAAATGGTCAATATCAGCCCAAATCACCTGAATTTTCGTACATAAGACCGAATTCAGTCTAGAAGCTAATACGTACAATTTGGAGAAACCCGGTTCAGAGATAGCTATAGTTCGTAAAATGCACGATAAAATTAGATAGATTTTGATTTTGTACCAAATATCATAGAGTTCTGAAATGCCCTGTATAAACCTTTTTACGAGAGCTCTACTAAATATGCATAGTGGTGTAGGGTATCATATAGTCGGCCCCGCCCGACTTTTGAGCTTTCCTTACTGGTTTTTTTTTTTTTTTGGAATTCTAAGCGACAACGGATAAAACTGTTATTTATAGATTATATGTATTTATTGGGTAATACGAATAATATCATTTCAGAAGAGAATAAGATATGAAAATTCTAAAATCGGGAAAAATCGAAAAATTTCCAATGGAATCGAATTTCAAAATAATAGTACATTCTACAGACAAACAACATAAACACCTTAAAAATTGGCCGTAAAAAAATCAGCGAACCAGTTGAAGATTATTTTTATGTTTTCAATTCTTATTTTTTTCTATATTGAAGTGTACATTTCTTATTGTTTTCAATTCTGAATGAATAATATTAAAAATGAAATGAGTGCGTAATACGATGTTAAATGGCGATCTTTCATGTATAAAATTGGCATCTAGCTTTCAACTACAGGGCCTCCAGCTGGAAGATCCGAACACATTTATACAAACAAAAATGACCGAAAAAGCATTTTGGGGTTCATTTGGACCTGCTTCTTTCATATGACAATAAATTGTCAAATGAGAACACAAAATGCAAAATACATTGGGACTGCAATCAGTCAAATATCGGCTATGAAGGACGCAAAAAATAAATTCTTTCTAAACATTCAATATACCTTTAATCGCTTTGGCAGGTCATGATATGGGTCATAACCCCCGATAACGGAACAACCGGATTTCATGTATATTCAACATTTTAACCATATTGTTCGTACTAATTTTAGTTTATGTTGATAATTTAAGAAGAAACCATCCTTGCAAAAAATGATCACATTCTGGTATCACCATCATATGATTTAAGGTATTTTCGGGGTCTTGGCCACTTTTTTAATTTTTTGGCCCTTTGGTCATCTTTGTTTCTAAGGGGGAAGAAAACCTCTTCTTATACAATTTTTATTTTTCGGAAAAGGGCGCATCTTAGTCTTGAGGTTACCTGGGGTAAAAAACCCTGTGGTAGAAAATCATCTTATAGATAATTATCCACATAGGCATTTATTTAAGGATAGTCCCCACATTAGTATACCCCCAAGTCCACCTTCCTAACCAATGTGTGGTCAGAAAAGATAATTTGGTATTCTATTGAATTTGTAACCCCTAAGAGAATATTGGCTGGGAACGTAGATTTGGGATGTACATGAAAATTTGTGGCAGAAACATGAAAAAATACGAAATTAGAAAGTAACTTCATTGGATCTCCACCGCACAATTTAAGTGACAAACAATTAATGCCCATCTTGCAGTAATCGGAGCACAAGAGTAATTTTTTGGCTATTCTGACAACATTCTGCCTTCAAGTATGAATTGGACAAAACTAGATACTTCGCAGTACGGGATTTTAAACGTTGGAAATACAAATTTCAAATTATAGCTCTCTTAAATGCTTTTTACAATACCAAAAATTGAGCTGAATTTTCACATGGGGCTATTATAGATGTTATTTATCATATAGGTATTTAACACTCAAATTAAATCATATAGCTTAAAAATAAGATCAGGCTATTCAAAATATAATCAAAATTGTGCCGCATACATAAGTAAGATCTGTGATATATTACGCTTTATAAACTAAAAGTACGGGCCGGCAACGCGGACCGGGCCAGCTAGTATTTGATAAAAAATAAATTGTGTTGGAGTGTTGTTTTTACATGTTTATATTTTTCGAAAAAAAAAATTATGCGAAAGAAAAACAATAATATATATGTTTTTCAAAATTTTTAAATGTCATTCAATTAAATAAAAATTTGAAAAACGTGCACAGAATTCATTTTTCTTCCGATACATAATAAACGAATTTCAAAATTTTATTCTTATCTCCCACTTATTTAAAATTTCATGAGTTTATAATCATCTTTGGTCCCGGCGAAAGGGTGTCCCTCCTCTTTTCGAACAAAATCACCACATACACTTTTTTGCATAAAGCGATTGAAGGATGGAATATGAGCAAAAGCTATCCCAACCAAAAGAGCTTCGTAGGCATTGATGAAGTGAATAACCAAAATGGAAGCCATTAAATTACAGCTACAATGGTGTTCTAAAAAAAATTCACAACAAATCTTACCTTTCATTGGTGTACGATTGAGGTCAAAACGATCACTATCCTCATAGGAACCAGGACGTTCTGTAAATTCGAAAAGTCATTATCAATTTATCTTCCATAAAATAATTTCCAACTCACTTTTATTTCCCGGCAGATAGTCATCAGGATTGAAATAGGTATTGATTTTCTTGTCATCATGATAGCCATTCGGAGGACGACTGGCAGCGGTGCCATTACGTCGCACATAATTATTGTCATTGTTAGGACCATAAGGTGCCGAGGTGGAGGGTCTTGAAGCGCCATCAACCGGTGGATCTGGACGATTTGTGTAATCGACAAAATCTCCAGGCTGTGACGAAGATGGTCGCGAACCATATGGTGGGGCCGAGGAGCTATGACCATTATTCTCCGGTCGTGGAGCGTATCCAGGTGATGGCCGACGATCATTTTCTGGTCGTGGGCTGTATGACCCGCCTCCAACGCGATCATTTTCCGGCCTCGGACCATAAGGCGAGCCACCATTGCGATCATTATCCGGACGAGGACCATATGGGGGACCACCATCATTGCGATCATTATTAGGTCTTGAGCCATATGCTGGACCATTACGATCCCCATTTGTTGGCCTTGAATCACTATTTCCCGGTCGGGGACCATAGGGAGATGTAGCAGAGTTGGGATCATTGTTTGAAGGCCTTGAATCTCCATAATAACCTGGTGTGGTATTGTCATAACCCGGCAAACGCATGGGATCACGATGTGAGCTCTCATAGTTTGGTCTATTGGGCCTTGGCGAGTTGGAGGAATATCCCGAATCTTCGGGTCTCATGGTATTGGGATTGTAAGATTCTGGAGTGCCATAACTATAGCCATTACCATAACCCAAACCAAAAATGGGCTTGGGTGGACCACTTGCACTTTGTGAAACTGAGGGTGGCCTGGAGCCGTCATACGACGTTGGACGGTCTCCCACCTCAGGGGCATTGGAAGCATAACCACCCGGTATGTAAACATCTTGATTGGGGGCGGGATAGTTTGGTTCATACAAAGTGGGATATTTAAACAAAGGATAAATGTCCTGAGAAAAATAAAGACGATCTCCATTCGGAGCGGCTGGTGTAGTGGGTACGGTGGAATCTAATATTGTGGGTGAACCACGATTATACAGAGTCGTCTCGCTATAACCTGTTGTCGGAGTTGGATATCGGGTATTTTCTTCCTCCACTGTTGTCAACACCGTAGGTGTGGGATCAACCACCAACAGTGGCGTACCCGGTGATGGCCTGCTCGATAGAAAAACTGGCGTGGTTGGGGCCAAACTACTACCATACCCATTCGTCTCGGCCAGATTATCATTCGGTTCATCCAAATCAAAGCAATTCGTTTTGCGGGCATACAAATCAAAGTCTGGATCAAATATCACACCATTCGGCCTGCCACCTGATGTTCCGTATTTTTCCTTGGACAGCTGGCAAGTGCCGTTTCCACGCCGATGAACCCTGCAAAAAGAAAATGTCAATGATGTAATTTTGATGCTACGCCAAATGCCAGACTCACCCAAATGAAATTGATTGACACTTGTCACCCTCCTGCAGACACTTCTCTTTGCAACTTCTCAACGAATTGGTGTCTTCGGTGCGAAACGTCTTCTCAAATGGCATCATTGCCTCCAAAGCAATGCGTTCAAAACAGTCTACAAGGAAATAGAAAAAAAAAAAAAAGAAAATCGATTACAAAATTGACAGGTACTTTGAAAATTAAATTGTAATCGCTTCAAAGTGTAAAGGGGAAATTATGCAATTTGATGAAGTGAAATTGATGAAGCTAAGTGGTTTCAGTACTTATCAAAATCATAGTCTGATCAAATCTATACCAAACAACATAACAACAGCAAGCTGTTTAAACTCCCACCATGGGAAATCTTCAATTATGGCAAAATGGGGTGACTAAATAGTATTTAAAACCAGTTAAAAAGTATCAGTAGGTTTAGCTGACAGATGTATACCCTCAGCAAATACTCGATTATTTAAATATATTTTGGCTTGTGTTATAATCATTCATATATTGACCCTTTATGGGGTGGGTTCCGAAATTATGGGCCTAAATAAAAATAATATAGATATTACGACGTGCCAAGTTTGGACTATATTGGATATTTAGGTCACTTTATATGAGATATGTGATAATTTTTTGAAAATGTTAAAATGTGCGTTCCAGACCAGATAGAGGCGACTGAAGTATTCCATTTTCATACTTCATCTAATATAGATAAAAATATTGGTATGGGCATGGTTTATGGGCAATTGCAAGAAAGTCGAATATATATTCCAATTTTATGCGAAATCATAAATTCCATATTCATCTGAGGCTTATTGTTAGAGAAATATTTAGTTGTAAAGAATCGCTGAAGTCTGGTGTTAAGATGGAATATATCGGCCTACTCCTTCTGGTACCTCCCTCACAAAAGGTCGAAATTTTTTAAAAATATTTTTTTTTGCACAGAAAGAGAAAGGATAATCCGATTTTGCTCCAACTTTGCAAATCCTAATATTTGCGTCAGTACCAGGTCAGGTGCCAAAGTGGATAATATTCACTCCATCAAGTACCTCCCCCACCAAGGGTCAAAATTTTGAATAAATAAACTCTCATAAAATGTCCGATTGTCATCAAATTTCACACATTCCAATATTTATATTAACCCAAGGTCTGGTGTTAAGATGGAGTATATCGGTCCACTTCTTCTGGTACCTCCGATTGTCTTCAAATTTCACACATCTTACTATTTTTATGAAGCCCAGATCTGGTAGTAAGAATGAATATATATGTTCACACGTTCTTGTACCTCCCCCGCAAAGGTCGGAATTCTGAACATCCATTAAGCTCATAAAACGCGAAGTTAACATCCGATTTCATTTAGACCTGGCACATCTGAATATTTTTATCAACCGACCATTCCATCTGGTACCTCCCCCCACAAAGAGTCAAAGTTTTGAATAACCGAAACGTTTATAAACTCCGAAATAAACATATTTCATAAATACAAACAGTTTTGCTAACACAAGATCTGTTGTGAAGATGGGATATATCGGCCCTCTCCTTCTGATACCTCCCCCACAAAGGTTCAAAATTTTGAATATCCATGAAGCTCATAAAAAGCGAAATCAACATCCGATTCCACTCCAGACTTGGTATATCCCAATATTTCCATCTATACAAGATCTGCTATAAATATGGTAGAGATCGGAACATTTCTTTTGCTACACAATTTTCAATACTTTTATCTGACATAAATTGCGAAACAACTCAGCTATTCTTTACAATTTCCTAAATCTAAATACATATCTCTCAACCAGAATTTTGAGGTGAATGTGGAATTTATGATTTCCCTTAAATTGGATCTTCTCATAATTTTGGCCATACCATTATTTTTATCTGTATTAGATGATATCTGTCTATTATATCTGGTAAATCACGCACGTTTTAACGTTTTCTAAAAATGATCACATATTTCAAATAAAGTGAAGGAAGAAACCAATATAGTCCAAACCTGGCACGCCGCAATATTTATATCATATATATTTAGGTCCGATATGAAATAGACAATATTGGTCCATTCTTTCAAAATCCGCTCCATAGAGGGTCAACAGTTTGAATAATCATAACAAAAGTCAACATTTTTTTTTAATAGTCGAACATTGGCTGAGGGTATACATCTGTCGGCACAACCAATCGATATATTTCTACTTTTTTTTTTTTTAATGTTGATCTTTTTTGGCGGAGGTACCAGATGGAGTTGTCCGATATTGCCCATCTCCGAACTCGATCTAAGTTTGATTATAATATAACGATATACCAAGTTTGGATCAAATCGGATACTCCCTTCGAGAGTTATCGAGCGCACCAAGCAGACAGACAGACCGACAGACATCGCTAGATCGACTCCAAATATCCTGAAACGGATTTGGCCCGAAGAGACCTAGAGTCTTAAACCGTTATATCGATGAGGCACGTTTTGTCCGTATCAAATGATATATACCCTCTCTAGCCATATGGCTGAGGATTTGATAAAAACAAAAAAAAATTATCTATATATTTGACATTAAATATGTTAAATATATGTAAAAATTAATTTCTCTGCGGTTTATTTAATGGAGGACAGCCATTTAAGTACAGTTCCAAAAGCAATATAGAGTTGAGATTAGTACTACGATCATCCTTTGTATACACACATACATATGTACACATGTATATAATCCTATTATCTTAACTATAAAAACATGTCCCATCAATTTTACGTTTCAGAAGTTTTCTAATAGCATCTTTTTAAAAAGACATAACAACTGATTATGACAATTAAAATAGTTTTCCATTTAAATGACAAAAAAAAAAAAAAAAAAAAAAAAAACAATTCATAATTATAGTCCCCTAGCTGTAATGACATATGTATTCCTGGTGTGGCATAACAAAAAGACACGCTTTTCGCTAAATAACAAAAAAGCTACGAAAAAGGAATTCTAGCATAAAAATTCTAACAAAATGTCTATGAACTCCTCCTTACTCCAGTGAATACCACCCAAAAAATGGCAACAACCTTCCATCGAAATAATTCTTCCATAATAAACTACAAAAATATTTGAGTTCATATTAATTATGTAAATGAGTTCCAGGTCTATGTTCAGATAGATGAGTGGCATCATAGCCATTCATATGTAAAAATAGATTACCATCTGCAAAAAACAAATTTATATGACCTTCAAAATTTAGGTACATTTACGAGTTGGTTTGTTGTTGGCATTTTTGTGAACCTTAAAACAATGCAAAAAATGTTAATTATTTTTTTTTTTCGAAAAAATGCCAGCAGTCTTCTGGTGATTTTTTTTAGCAACAACATAAATTACAATAAAACCAGCAACAAATAAAATACAAAATAAAATGGTAATTAATTAAAAGGAAAAACATCTAACATCCAAAAACACAACACTCATCCGTTCGGAACCATCAGACATCAGTTGAAGCCAAAACATGTCGGGTTAACTAAAACTAAACCAACACCATGGCATCACCGGCTTGGTGAAGTACATTCTATAGCCTCGACCATAAATATGGAGGGTATATTAAGTTCGACATTCCGTTTGTAACTCATCGTAATAATAATTTTAGACTTACAAAATATTAATATTTTTGGTCAGCGTAAAATTCTAAGACGATTTAGACCTGTTCGTCTGTCCGCCTCTTGTAATCAAGCTAGAGTCAAAACGAATAAAGATGGGAAGCTAAAATTTTGCAAAGATCAGTTTTTTGTCTGTAGACAGGTTAAGTTTGAAGATGAGCTATATCGGTCCAGGATATCGTATAGCCCGATATTCGATATTTTGATAATTTTAGCTACATTTTTTTATGGAATTGCCTAAAAACCCATACAAGAAGTTCTTTCTAAGCACCCCTGGAAGAGGAATGCCTATATAGAGGTCCACAATATCGTATAGCCCACATACAACGGTACCCCCAATATTCGATATTTTGACGATTTTAGAGAGATTATTGCTTCAAATTTCGTATTTAGAACTCGTTGTAGGTACTACAGCGTATGACAAAAAATGCGTATGCAGGCCCACGTTTTCGTATAGCCTCCATATAACGGTACCTCCCAATTTCCGGTATTTTTATGATTTTAGCGACATTATTCACCACAGTTGTTTCAAATTTCGTATTTAGAATTCATAATGGGTACTACAGCCTATAACAAATTAAGGTCCAAGCTTCCATATATATATTTTTCCGATTTTGTGAATGCGTCATGCGCACTATGTATTCCCAATTTCAATGAAATTTGGAATGTAAGACGAAATTCGGTACAAAAATAAATTCGCCAAATTATATTGAAATCGCTTGAAATTCGGATACATATTATCGGCATATTTCACATATTTGATGCACCAAACACGATATATGTGTTTGATTCCAATGAAATTCGGAATGAGTAACGGAATACTTTCGGTCGATTTCGTATATTTTATGCACGATACATTTTGTACAATATGGTATTGGGTGAACAGATAAAAAAACAGAAAAAACTGCATCCAAATTCAGACTGCTATCATTTCTAAGCCACTCGTTCGACAGCCATAAAAATTATTTCAGTGACAACTCATTATATTGTTTACAAGTGTACAAAAGCATTTTGATGAGAATTTTCCAGAAAAAAAGTTATTCGTGTTAGAATTCAAGCGTGATAGTGTGATATCTTTATATTTGGCGGGAAAACCACAGGTGGCTATCGTTAGAGCACTCCTGCATTTAAATGTGAATAAATCTTTTGTGTCTCGTACCATCGCTCGTTACCATGATACTGGTAGCGTAGACGGACGACAAGGAAGTGGACGGAAGAAAACAGCAACATCAGGAGAAATGGTTCGAAAAGTAAAGAAGCAGAAAAATGGTTCGAGAGCTGAACATATCACAATTTTCCATTCGGCAAAAATTGAAAAATGTTCTCGGGGTAAAGCAATTGAAATTCCAAAAAGGGCAAGACCTTACACCTAAATAGTTGCTTCGCTTGGCCGAAAGTGGTGAACTGCCGAATTTGGTTTTCTCCGATGAGAAAACATTCGTTGTCCAGCAGTTTTTAAACAAACAAAATGATCGTGTTTACTTGCCAAAGAGGTCAGCTGAAAATGTGCACCTTCGGTTGGC